CAAGATTCATTGTAATTGTCATCTATATATAAGTGTTTGAAGATAGACCAAGTGAAATTACAAGATCAAGTTGGTTATTGGTGATAAGCCTCATATTATTTTTCTCGCTCCAAGATTCATTGTAATTGTCCTCTATATATAAGTGTCGAAGATAGACCAAGTGAAATTGCTCGATCAAGTTGCTTATTGGTGATAAGCCTCTTCCCTATCTCCAAAAATAATGAAGATGTAGCCAGTTAAGTTTGGATTGTGGACGTGTTACCTCTTTTTTCTTTTTCTCTCTATTCAAGGTCTGTGTACATGCTCTCTTGAACTTTAATACATTCGGACCCGGACTTGACCCGCGTTTGACTAAGACATGGGTGGGGTCCTAGTCGCTTGGGTTGGTCCTAGTCTAATCCACTTGACCAGTGTTTGACCAAGACATGGGTCGAGTCCTAGTCGCTTGGGTTGGTCCTAGTCGCTTGGATTAGACGGGACTTGGACCCTTGTCTAGAAATTTAGAAAAAAATAAAAACAAATTATTTTGCATATCATATATTTTATGTATTTTATACCGAGGCAAGCCGACCAGACCCGACCCGACCCAATAGGGTCCAACTCGGACTCGGACCTGATCTGCCGGGTCCAACACACGGACCGACCCTTTTTCAGGTCGACCCCTTCCAATAGCCACTGATAACTGGCTACTACCTGTTATATGTGATGAATGTCCTTTTTCTACTCTTTACTGTGCTCAGTACTAAATTTCTTGCCTCCTGGTAACTGTGAAAAGTAGGGAAGTTTATTTGGTTCTCAATATTGTTAATTTGCTGTTCTCTGTCCCCTCTCCCAACTTTTCACTAATCTGATAGTACTTTTTGCCATGAACATATAGGGGTGGATTCCAATACCCATTGACAGTGACAACAAAACCAACAATGGACTACCGCTCAAGATGAGTTCGAAATAGTATCCATGACAAAACAATCTATCAAGCTACATAAACGCTAAAACAATCTATGAGGAAGCCTGCAGATAGATGACAACTCAGATGTATGGCCAGCCCATTATGGTCCTCAATTTAACGAAAAAATGCTCGGAATTTGGATCAAGTGCTTGAGTAAAGTTTATGGTGAGAGGATGATGGGTACATCAGATTCTGAAGTTTAGGAGAGGTTCATAGAGGTGGGTCGAAAATATTTAATTGCTCCTTTGGATGTCTCTGTATATGCAATACAAGTGTGAACGGCGATTTTACGTAATTTTACTAGTGCAGATTCATAGATAGGCTGCCCAGTACAAGAGCAACACTTTGCCTCCCATCCACCGTCTGTATATCAATAAAATTGAAAGGAAAGTTCTATAATAAGGCCAACAATGTTTTATGGGAAGGAATATTGAGCAGTCCCAACAATGTTTTAAAGGAAAGTTTTATAATAAGACCAACAATGTCTTATGGGAAGGAATATTGAGCAGTCCCAACAATGTTTTATGGGAAAGAATATTGAGCACGACATACCTATCGGATTAGTATAGCTGAAAAGAAGATGTTGAGATGGACAGGTGGCAAGGCAAGAAGGTTTAGAATTCATAATAAAGACATTCAAAAGAATCATATGTGGCTACAGTATAAAAGAACATGAATGAAAGTAATGAGAAAACATATAGTGACTGTCATTATGAAGGTATGAAACATGATAGAGCAAAATGACAGTACCAGACTCTTGCAGCCAGCCCCAAACAGTTAATAGTTAGGATAAGACTCGAATGATTTTCCAACCATGTCTCATCTACATCAAGATAGGACTTTATTTTATGTCTTTATTTTTATTTAAATTATTAAAACTATGGATAATGACCCCCCTGTAGAAGGGAGTTGTCACTTGTAGATGGATCCCTATGTTGGGAATTAACTTTGGGATAATACATGAAAGCTCTTTTTGGGGCGAATAGTGCATGAAAACTTACCAACAGGATAATTTTATTGGCAGTTGAACACATCGGTCAATCAATTTGTATCATTAACATGTGTGAATTAACAATTAAGTAGCAATCTGAACCATCTGTTTTGTATGTAATGTCATGGATGGGTTATAGTGAAGGAATCACATTTGAAAAGAAAAATTTCAGCCTCTCATCAATGAATTAAGTGGCCTGGAGGTCAACTTTTTAGGGAAAACTGCCAGTAACATAACATGTACGGAACTGACGGTGTAACTTACGATTATAACCTTCTATTTGTTTGTAATGTCATGAATTATTATAACCAAAGAATCTCTTCGGAAATATAGAGCCAACCTCTTAATTAGGGTGGCACTGGGTCAGGTCCGTGAGGCCCAGGTCGAGCCCAACCTAACTAAGCTTCACACGGACCCAGACCAGGTCCGGTCCAAGTTATTTGAACCCGGACCCTTGCCTAGAAGCTAAAAAAACAAATAAAAAATTTATTTTCTAAAATGTACAGCATATAATTTAAAATTTGTACTAGGTGAGGTCGGACCAATCCCAAACCCAACCCAACCAGAAGGGTTGAAGCTGAACCTCAGTCATCGAGCCAGACATCAACCCTGACCCAACTAGGGTTAGGCCCAAGCAATTTGGAACTTACAAAACTCTCCAGGTCCAAAACAATTTTTATGATTGGTGATTGTAAGTGGATTTTGGATGACGGGAGAAAGATATCTTTTGGGCATCGTAAGTGGGTGGGAGATTGTTGCTTGAAATCGGTATATTCGCTGGTTATTGGAGCGACAAATCAACAAGATATCATGGCATCTCAGACCTTTGATTGGGATGCAAATGTCTAGTCTTTGAACTACAGGTACAAAATGCCTGATCTTTAAACTGCAGGTACAACAAATTTTGGACTCAGTGATTGATCAATATACTTCGCTTCTTGAAGATATTCATGTCTGGTCTTTAAACTGCAGGTACAACAAAGTTTCGGACTCAATGATTGATGAATATACTTCGTTGCTTAGGGATATTTATGGGTTTATGCCGCACAGAGAGAGGGAATTCGCTGCTGGGGATATTCATGGGTTTACACCGCAAAGAGAGAGGGAAGACGAGTTGGCTTGGGAGGCTGAGAAGGACGGTATTTTTTCAATTAAATCAATGTACATTTTTCCATGATAGGATTCGGTGGAGTAGGCCATTATTGAAGAGAGTATGGTGTTGGAAGCTCCTTTCAAAATTCAAATTTTCTTGTGGATTTTATTCAAAGAAAGTCACTTACTGTGGATAAGATCATAAAAAAAGGCAGGATTATTACAAATGTTTGCATTCTTTGTAAGGAAAATGATGAGAATGGAGATCATCTTTTCCTTCATTGTCCTTTCTCTTCTTACATCTGGATATGGGTTTTTCAAAAAATTGGACATATGATGGTGGTGCCGAGTGGTCATATGAATATTTTGGATAGCATGGAGTTGAATTTTTTACCAATGGTGGGCAAGATGATTTGGGAGAGGGCAAGAGCTGTTGTTTTTTGGGAGATCTGGATGGAACGCAATAGGAAGACATTTAATAACAAAGCTCTGGAGGTGGAATTGGTTAAAAGAAAGACTATACATCCGGTTTGGAGTTGGTTATCTGTGACAAAGGAAGGGTTTGGAGTGACCAAAGCGGATGTTGAGATTAATTTGCATAATTTAATGCTTCAAAAAATAATGAAAATGAAACCAAAATATAGGTGAAACTTACCTATGCTAAGGAATATCAAACTTAATTTCAATGGAAGCTCATTAAGAAACCCAAGCCTAACTGGAATTAAAAGGAATTTTGCAAGATACATTTGGAGAGATGATCTTTTGTTTTGCTGACCCTCGTAAGGGAGATAACGGCTGCTGACCCTCATAAGGGAGATAACGGCTAATGAAGCAAAATTGTATTAGAACATTCTCTGAATATGATAAATTGGTGCGATAAAACATCCAGGCCACCATAGAGCTTGAGGAGGAAATAGCCAAACATTATGGATGGGTGAGGGCCTCCAAATCTCATTTCAGCATGTGTATAAAGAGGCTAATGACATTGCCGATAAATTAGCAAAACGAGGGGTGTCTATGCAAAAAAAATTTATTTCGGATGTCCCATTTCAGATTGGCTATAACCTTTGAGTAATTAATGAAGCTTTAGTAACATTGTCCAAAAAAAAAAAACCACATGGATCTCGACCTAGACTCGCTCAGATTGACCCTACTAGGTTGGCAGGTCCAGCCTACCCCATTTGGCAGCCCTACCTCTAAACAACACTGTAGGCGCCAAGTCCAACCATTTAGGGGAAACCATAGGGAAACCGCTAATCCAAACAGATTTGAAAACAAGGATTCAGAGAATCCAAACAGATTAGCAAAAATATCACGGCCAACCATTAACAATTGCTGAAAGCCAAATGCATGTTTAAACCGTTAGACTGAGAAATGGGGAAAACTATAAACCCTTGTATAACAACTGTCGTACAAAATTTGGTGGTACTACATCCCATGGATAATCCATTGATCAGATGTAAAAATCCATCATGTTAACGAGTCAAACAGGGACATACAATACCATCCCGACAACCATTCAATGCCTCTACCCCAGTTTATGACAAGTTAAATACCATTGGATCAAATAAGGGCCATGGGATGACATGGTCGAGGAGTTAAGAGGTCAGCCCTAAGAGAGGTACGTTCCTGGAAATTGGTTCTTGCAGAGGGAGTCAAGAACTATAACAGAGATAGAGAAATGAGATACCGCCATAAGGGCTGACGGCTCGTACCTTCTCCCCCAATTCTTGAGAAATGTGCTTCCGGTCTTCCTCCTTTCCTCGATAAATGGGCTTTTGTGGTTTTCCTATTTTGGGAAAATAAAGGGAAAAACAGTGCCCACTTTTCCTGGCATTTCTGCAGCTTTCCCCACTACCAAACAAGGGTCCCTCTAGGCCACGAGAGCTGGGAAAACCAGAGTTTTCCAGAGGTAATATCCCTATTACTAGACGAGGCCAAAAAAACAAAAAGAGGAGGCCAAATTCATGATATGGAAGTCTTAAATATCCCATGTATATTAAAAATGAAAATCACTTGTGTTCTACTTTTCTCTTAATGCCAATCACAAGAAATAAAGCCCAGACTGGATCCTTGATCCATATGGCATCAAAATGAATCCAACACGCAAAACACCAGAGCATAGAAGTACCAAGTGTATGCATGCCCCTGCACAACTTCCCAAAGCTCAAAATGACTGAGCCACCAATCAAGAACCAGAGAGAGAAACCAAAAGACTAGAGAGAGAAACTGCGAAAGCATGCACCGGAAATTTCAGCAATAGAACATAACGCGCTTCACGTTTTCTTTGAGGGCTGGAAGTGGCCGCACGCTGGAGCCTGCTGCACGAGTGCTGCTGGCACGACTGCCAGCACCGCTGGGTGCTCCCCTACCAGGCAGCCCGCTAGACATGGATCCACTGTCTGAAGTCTCCGGCTCCATGTAGAAGCGAGCCCTGAAGGCTGCTAGATGAGCATAGTAAGCAGGCGGCACTGCAAAAAAGGGAACGGAGATGTACTCAGCAAACTATATAAGACAGAGGTCTATTGAGAGAGTATGCAGCAATTACTTGAATTTCTTTTTTTTGGGGTTTCATGAATTTTAAGAGAATATAAAAGCATTTCTATTGAGATAGTAAGTAAATATGGGGAGAAAGAGAGGTTCCAAAACAAACATGGATAAATTTACTAAGAGACATGAAAACAGGTGAATTTCTAAAGAACATGCATGAGAATTTTAAAAGCAAGTTCACTGACATTGCAGGTAAAATCTAGGGAGAAAGAGAGGATCCAAAACAAACATGCATGAATCAATTAGGAGACATGAAACCAGCTCCATTGGGTTTTGATAATACTCTTCTGAGAGAGCACGAGAGAAAGAGAGAGAGAGAGAGAGAGAGAGAGAGAGAAGAGAG